AGATGAAGGAAAATTGAAAGAGATAGAGGAATCGAAGGAGCAGGGATTAATTAGAACGATGGTCAAAATAACCAAAGGAGGACCGGTAACGTGGGAGGAATTGAAAGGGGCCACCTTGAAAGGTCGGGAATTGACCCGAGTCAAGGCATGCATAAAGGGGCGCAGATCTTGGCGAGACGGAGATAAATCTTACAAGTACATAGAAAAGGAATTAGCGATAGTAGATGACTGCGTGGTACGGGGGAATCTGGGTATAGTACCGTTCAGATTACGGGATGCGGTGTTAAAGATGATTCATGCCGGACATCAGGGCTTTGAGAAAATGAAACAGTGGGGTCGGGAGTATGTATGGTGGCCCGGAATGAATAAAGAAATTGAGGATATAACCAGAGGCTGTGAGATGTGTAATTTGTGGGCCACGATGCCTCGCAGAGACAAGAAAAGTGTATGGCCCAAGGCTACACGACCCTGGGAGCGCATACATGTTGATTTCTTCGACTTCGAAAACAAAATATATATTCTAGTGGTAGACGCTTTTTCCAAGTGGGTAGAATACGAGGAAGTGAGAGGATTGACAACTCAGGTTGTGGTAAAGATGCTGAAAAATCTGTGGGCTCGATTCGGAGTAGCTAAGATAATAGTTTCGGATGGAGGACCGGCCTTCATAAGTGGACAATTCAAGTCTTTTTGTGCGGAAACCGGGGCGAGACATATTTTGACGCCACCATATCATCCGAGCTCGAACGGTCAAGCGGAACGAATGGTGTCGATTGTCAAAAATTGGTTAAGAAAATCAAAGTAGGGGAAATTTGGGTAGCAGTAGCTTATTACAACAACTGTCGAAAGGGAGAGGAACAATCTCCGGCAGAAAGGTTTTTGGGGAGACGAACCAGAACATTACTGGATTTATTAAAACGGGACACGAATCAAGAAGTGGAAGAGGAGAAAATTGAGATGTTGGAATTCATAGTGGGTCAAACCGTGTGGGTTAGAGTATATGGAACTACCAGGAAATGGGAATCCGGGAGGATCGTGGAAAACATTGGGAACAAGTTAAGTCGAGTAAGGTTCGCCGATGGAAGAGAGGGAGTACGACATCGGGATCAGTTGAAAAGAGGTGTGGAGCCCGGAAGATTACGATCGGGGGTATGAAGTTGGTCGATATATTATCGAAAATGAGTGAAAAGAAATACATGTATAAAAGAATTTGAAATTTAAAAGGAAGATTTAATAGGTATCGGGATATGATATATTTTATAGTGCTCAAGTTGGGCAAGGAAATAATTGCTCTATTATAATGCTCAGTATATGCGTGCAATGGAATGGGTATCAAAAGAAACCCGAAATAAGGACTGGAGCTTTTATAATGTCTCAGTAGAATAATAATTATTATATGGAAAAATATCTGGGAAAACATTTATCGGAAAGGAAGATTTAATAGATATCGGGATATAATGTATTTTATAGTGCTCAAGTTGGGCGGGGAAATAATTGCTCTATTATAGCGCTCAATATATACGTGCAATGGAATAGGTATCCTGGAAGAAGCCCGGAATAAATTTGGGAAATCGTTATCTGCAGGGAGATTTTATAGGTATCGGGATGTAATATATTTTATAGTGCTCAATTTGGGCAGGGAAAATATGTTCTATGTTAACGCGCAATATATACCAAGCTGTGAAAATAACGCCGTCTAATAGCGTGTTAAAAAAAAGGAAGATAAATTTATAAATGGGCTCATTAAAGGAGATGAGTTGGGGAAGCAGGTGGAAAAAGTTATAATAAAAAAATAAAATAAATTAAAACAATGATGACTCATCCAAATACAATATTAATTTATATAGCGATGATTCATCAAAATTACAAATTTATTTTTAATCCTATGATTTGACAAATAATAAAACAGAATAATTTGATCATTAATAAAAATCTTACCCTTCTTGACAGTATCTTTACAGATAAACTATTTCCACTATATACCAACTTAATTTTATCACAACAAAATAAAAAGGTATTTAAAAAAAATATAAAACCTATTAGATTGCAAGATTATTTTTTTTTTGAAATCTCTCAATATTTACTATTTTATTTTAGTTATCAATTAAACTGATCTGTATTTTTATCTCTGTATAAATTTCTAAGTTTGTTCAAAACTTTATGAATATTTTTTTTAAATTTAATTTAATATAAATAAATACCATATTTTTAACACAATATATTAGCCTAAAATTAATAGTTTTAAGTGAATTTAAAAAAAAATTTATGTATTTAAATTTCTTATTATTATTTAATATATAATATAATTAATAATACTTTAAATTGTGTTCAACTATTAAAATATAAAACCCTTGATAAAAGAAATTTCAAATAATCATACTAAAAATAAATAAATTCTAAAAGAGATTAACTACTATCCATATCTATGTATATTATGATATATATTATTTAATTTTTATTTACTTTATCTGTTATAATAATCATAATAATTTAATAAGCCTATGAAATACAAGAATCTAAAGAAATTAACAGGATACTTATAGTTATATTACATAAAATAATCAAATTACAATCAAGTATCTCTTTAAATTAGAATTTGATAATTTTGAAACTGATATACTTTTTGGACACATTTTACATTTGGTAAGGATAGAATTAGTTTATTTATTATATTTGGTGGTAATGAATTCAGAATCAGATGATGATGAATAAATTACATCATCCATGCTTTCGCCAATCTAGAATAATAATATTTAAATTAAACTATACTGGACCGAAATAATGACTGGTTAAAAAAGTTCAAATGTGATAAAGGAAACAGCTGATTATAAATTACCCCCTTTTCTTAAAAAACTTGGATTAATATTATATTAATATTTTTTATTTTCAAATGAATAGAAATAAGAAGACTTTCTAAAATTGAACTAAAAAACACGTTTAAAGTTCGTCACATTTTTTCAAAAAAATAAACTTAGTTCACGAACGCGTTCAATCGTTTACATCATTATTTATTGGCAGTTTTCTAGGTTTACCCCTATAAATCAGTGTCTCCCCTGATTCTTTTTCTCCACCTTTTGCAATCTTGGGCTTCGCTAACTGTAAAATCCATCATTTTTAAGTCATACATCCATTTCATCCACGTCTTCGTTGGTCTTCCTCGAGGCCTTCATCCTATTACTTACAATGAAATGCATCGCTTAACCCAGTAATCTTTTGTATTTCGTTCCACATGCCCAAATTCTCAGTCTATTTCTTCTTATCACAACTTCAATCGCATCTATACCAATTCTTTCCTACGGCTCAGTGTTTTTTCTCTCTTATAGAAAACCCGGCAACCCAAACATGCATCTAACCATTCTCATCTCCTTTCTTTCCAATTTAGCTTCATATGCCTCTTTCATTACCTACGTTTCGCAACCGTAGACTACAGTTTCTCATCCACCTTTCATACACTTTTCCTCTCAGCTTCAGAGATACGTTCTTATCTGTTAGAATAGAAGACATCTCTCGAAACTTCTTCCATGCACATCTTACCCTTGCAAAACAGCTGAATAAACACCTCTATCTGTATTTTAAATTCACCCAAATAACAGAACTTACGACATTTTCAAGAATAGCTCTATTAACCATTACATTATAATTATCATTAACCCCTTTCATGCATGTTCTGCAGGTAAAAGTCACTCATACTTTCATTAAACTCCAAGCACCCATTTCTGACAGCTGGTGCATTGGATTGAATACCTAGCAACACCTCTCTCATACACACTACATGGCTAAGTGCCCATTTCTTACTTATTCCGCGATCCTTCACCTCCATCGCCTTAGTCTTTCCATCGTTTACTTTAAACCTTTTGCTCTTATCCTTTAACTCTGCCTCACTTGTTGTTACCAGGTACAAGATCGTCAGAATATAGAAGTTTCTAAGATAGTTTTCCACCAAACTCTCTCGTTATCACCTCATTACTATGATAAATATAATGGGCTCATGACTGATCCTCCCATGTAGTCCCATCTTTACTTCATAGCACTCACTATCACCACCATGAGTCCAACAATCATTCTGGCATCCTTGTACATTGCCATCACTGCCAAAACTAACTATTCCTCTACGCCTAACTTTCCCAAAGACCACTTTGTAAAGCGGGACCTTGTCAAACGCCTTCTTCAAGTCTACAAAAGCGTAATGGTAAAATCTAATGTCATCTCTCCTTCAACGTTTCTCATACCAAACCTAAAGTCTCCATCAACTCCTTCATATCCTTTAGAATGTCAACAACATGCCATTTAAATCATTACCTATCATAATTGTCTCCCCATTAGAGAGGCCTGCTCTCATTTATAACAGTTCATCCTAAAATACATCTTTCTCTTTATTATTTCTGCCGACTTGGGATGCATACACTGAGTTCATGTTAGATATTCTTTTACCAACGATCAATTTAACTACTATATCCGATCATTTTATCTTTTTACGTTCAATATCTCGTCTACCCACTTCTCTTTAACAAACATCCCAATACCAGCATTGCCCTCATCACATTTCTGCCAGAAAAACATGTATTTTGAGCCAGTACCGCCAATCATTCTTAACGCCTTTTCCTATCCATCTTGTATATATCTACTCTCCTTCTGTTTAGCGCTTCCACTATGTCACCAGCGTTACCTATCATCCTATACCTATATTACATGTTGCAACCGTCACCATCTAATCGGTTTCACTACATAAGGTCAGGTCTTTTATGACCTCCATAATTTTCATTTACGGCAGTTGTGCCTCTTGGTTTCCCATCCTTCTTTTTGTCGTAGGCGAATGAGGAGGCCTATAGGGTACTTATAGCCCCGCCTGTAATATATGGGGATTTTGGAGCTTTTATTTTTTACGATCGGATGCTCTTCCTGCATCAACCCCTTTAAGTAACTTACTAAAAACATTGCTTTTCGTATTCTCTTACACATTTTTTCCTCCTTGGATAATTATTTTGTTAATCAAATTTGCAAAGCGGGCCTTGAATAATCAAAGCATTGATAAGATTGAATGGATAACCGATGCTTTGCTCAATCACGACAGGGTGTATGGAACTGACTTAAAGATCTGGCAAGAGACCGCCGCTAAAATAACCGAAGTGATTCATCGAGCTGCTGAACGTAAACGGAAATTGGCGGAAACCGAGAAGGTTTAAAACCTCTTTAATTTTTTTTACCATTACATAAGTCTTAATACCTGTGTAATTTACCTAATTTTTTTAATAGTTTGAATACAATAATAATAGAATTAAATATAACTAGGGAGGTGAATATTTTTCGAACACAACCGTATGCTATATTAATTTTGAAGTATAATCGAATTCTTTAATTTATTATCCGTCGGATACTTAAAAGTTAAAACCGGCGGATATTTAATAACTTAAGCGTAATATACGAATATTTAAAAAATGTATACCGGGTGGCTCAAAAAAGGCGATAATACGCAATATTATTTGTTTTTTTATAAATAAAATTTAGTAATTTATTAAAACTTAATACAATTTTTTTTTTTTTAAAAATCTGATCATCGATTTTTAGAAAATTATCCCATTACGGACGAGGCATTTAGGTAGGCGTCAAAATAATTATTTAGGAACCAATTCCTACTCATCACCATATATCTAGATCATATTTATCTATAAAAAAATAAAAGGTTTAACTAGTATTGTTAAACGGCTGGTTTTAAGCCGATTTTTAAAAACGGCTAACTCAATACTTCATCCAGAGCAATATTACGCAAGCCTGAAGATTTTGCTCATAGAAAGAACAAAGGTCTATACATATATTATCGAAAACTCGAGGCTTAGGCAATATTTTTCTAGCCAAAATTTTGAGTTAGCCGTTTTTAAAAATCGGCTCAAAACGAGCTATATTTAACAACACTAGGTTTAACAGGTCCCTTAAAAATGACCTTTGCATTAATGTAACATCAGGAACATAATGTTAAAATTGGCAAATTTTTAATTTGCAAAGAAAGATTACATGCCTAAATCTTATTTCAAAATTGGTATACGATGTGTATTATAATATTCCAGGGCTTGAGAAAGGGATAAAAATATCTTTTTTTAATAATAGTTGTGTTTCTAACACAAAAAAATATTTTTACTGCATCAGTAAAAGGGGTGATATTTTTTACCAGATGTTTAAAACCTATGAAATGATCTTATTATATTTTTGTTATATTTAAGCATAAATTATAATACAAATGTAACGACTGGCGAAGTGACGAGGGATTGCAAAGAATGAATTTATATTATGTGATTAAGAAAACTAAGTTTGACATGTGTTATATTAATATGGTGGATGATAATTATTATGTTTATTAGGTGTGTATTATTATGGACTCATTTATGTTATATAATTATGTGAATGTATTATTATGGTTTCAATTAAGTTATATAAATACTAGCAGTGATAAGATTGATGATGATGAATAAATAAATGAACCAATTACCCTCTATTTCATATGGCGGCTGGATTATGGAATCTTAATGGGAAAACCTGTATATTAATGATTGGTATCGAATTAATAATTTTGGATTATAGAAATGTGAAAATGAATGGTGGTAACTTAGTTATGTTTATATTGGTTTAAAAATAATTTAATGTTATTATCTTAAAAAGGTATAGTGATCTTAATAATAAATGATTGATGATGCTGATTAAATATAAGTTCATGCAAATCTAAATAATTTGAATGAAATTGCAAAAGAATGAAGTATATTCACAACACAAATATTAAACATGCCAATATTTGGAATAATATTAATTTGGTATAATAATATTTTGAGATTTTGACAAAGATTCTATTTTTGAATGAATTAACAATAAATATGGACGAAAGAAATATAGAATTTGTGCCTGGAATATGTATTTATGGAAAATCATATATGTTATTTGGAATGGAAATATGGATGACCTGGTTCATGCCCATGATGACATTTAAATTTGGATACAGGAATACGTATGAAAAAATATATTTTTGGAGAATGACTATTGTGATTGGATCACAAATTGGAATTATTAAATGATTGTGAATAATAATCGTAAGAGTGACATATACATGGAGATAAGATATATGGAATATGATAATTAATTTAGGTAAATAAGGAATATATATGTGAATCGATGTTGATAAAAATCTTGTTAATTAGGACGTAATTATATAATTACAATGGGACTATGTGCTAGCAGCCATAGTCACCACAGATGATAAATTAAGGAATACGAGTATGAATTGGGGCTATGGGTTAGCAATCATATTTACTACCCTTTATTCAAATTAAAGATTGATTCTATGTTATCTATCAAAGATGCCCTAGGGTAAGGGCCCAGATAAAAGAATGGGCTACCATTTATAAAGATACTATAGGGTAGTTGTCCACCAGATTAATATTTTAAAAAGGGGAGTCGAGGCCCATCGATATGGAGAAGTGATGATGACCACTCAGTTAATGATAGTAAGGAGGGGGATTTAGGATCTGGAGTAAATTGGTTTTGGTGGTTACCGTGACCTCGTGGAGTTTTAAGCAATAACGGATTGTTCAAGGACCGTTCAACGTTTAACGCCATATAGGCTATCTACATGAGTATGATTGGTGACAAATCTAGGTGCAAAAATTGGGTAGGGTGACCCCTTGGCTGTGCAAGCGATAACGATCCTCGAGGACTGTTATATGCTATTTGAGCCACCCAAGGCTTGCCACTGCATGAGGATATTTTGGATTGGATATGTGGGGGAGGGGGATGCAATGACTGGCGAAGATGATGAGGGATTGTGAAAAATTTATCCCTATCATGTGATTAAGAAAAGCAAAATTTGACATGTTAAATTAATATGACGAATAATTATTATTAGTATTTTTATTATGCTTATTAGTTGTGTATTATTATGGACTCATTAATTATGTTAATATATTATCATGGTTTCAATGATATTATATAAATACAAGCAATGTTATGTTTGAACTGATGATAAATACACCAATTAGCCTCTGCATCAACAAATATTGAGCAATTTTTCTAAGTTTAAATATATTTTTTATTAAACAAAAAAAAATTTATAAATTAATATTATTACATAAAAAACCTTATTTATAAATTAATAATTTAATATTTGAAAACCCGTATTTATAAATTAATAATTTTACATATCTAATTTCATAAAATGAATACAACACTAGTAATAGCTCTTATTCATTCCCAATTATTCCAAGAAATTTAAATTTTTCTTTGATTTATCAATCATATAAAAATTTTTTAATAATTAATTATTCTTTAGTTAACAGATGACAATGCAAATTCACAAGTACCTTCAATTATATATCGTATTTTATATTTAATTACTAATAGATTACTTTACTTAATTTTTAAATAATATCTAAATTGAATAAAATATTTTAAAAAATTTATATCATTTTCAAAGGTTCAAATATGATAAAATAAAATAAAAAAAATTTTGACTAAGATTTAATAATTATAAGATGAATATTTTTTAAAATTATTCTACATAAAATATCTTTAACTAAGCTAATAAAGATATGTTAAACAAATTTTTGTATTTTATTATGTAAAAATGTATAAATATGGTATTTATAAAATTTTTTTATATGTAAACTTCAAGTGTGGTATTTTTTAAAAAAATTGTTCAATATTTGTATAACATAACTTATAATGTTTAAGTATTACAAATAGAAAAATATAATAATATAGGGATCGGAGGGTTTATGCTATATATAATGGAAGGGAGGGAGCGTCTGATACTATATTTTTCGAGAGAGCCTTAAGTAAAGCAGAAAAGAATTATTCAGTAATCGAGAAGTTAGCGATGAAGGTGGGGATTAGTTAAGTGTCGAGAATATAGTTGGACTTGCACATTTGTTTTCAATATCTGGTAAAAAAATATCCCTCTTTCACTTTATAACATATTATTCATTTCATATTTAATTTTAAACAGGAAAAATTATTATAATATTCTGACGATAAAGAACATGCGATGAAGTTATTAACGAAATAATATACCCTCACTTAATCTTGATAATGAAAGAATCAAAATGGTAAAATCGCCTACCATTATCAGTTAATACGTGTTACTATAGGCATTGGCCTTATATAAAGATAGTATGAATTTAAAAATAATTTCTAACACCCAAAGATAGTTTCAAGTATACATTATTTTGCTTGGTTATTCTAATTAATCATAACTCCCCTTTATACAGTGTTGTGATGATTTAATGAAACATATTGACGATTAAATTCAAACCCATTCATATAAAATTATAATATTTACAAAAATTACAAATAATATAATTTTATATGAATGGGTTTGAATTAAATCGTCAATATGTTTCATTAAATCATCACAACACTGTATAGTAAGAAAATTAATCTTTCTGCTATTCTTAAGGTAGAAACTCCTTAGATTATTTTGGGTTACATACTTTTTTATTTCTTTTGATATCTGTTGCGTATTGCTGTTTATTTTTTAATTATATTCTGAGGGATAAATGCAGAATAACTCCTAAAAGTACCCCCTCTACCTACGAAAAAATGGTAAATTATTTTTTGACCTCATAAATTTTAAAAATAATTTTTATTGCATCAATCTTTATATATAATATAAATAAAATGTAAAAAAATATATACTTTAAAAATATTATTTTTAAATTAATCATTTAGACAAATTAGGAGAAGAGAAAGCGAAAGAATTTATAATTTCATCAATATTTAATTGTTTAAATAAAATTTTTTCCATTGATAAAATGGTTAAATTATTAAGAAATGGATCTTTCATGGTACTATGAAGTCTTGTTTTAATTAATTTAATTTTACTCATGGCCCTTTCGGCACTCGGCAGACATGAGGTAGTAGGAATGGTTAATAAATATTTATATTAAAATTGTTAAATTAGGGAAAGCATAAAAATTTTAAAGTAGACGATAAGGTAAAATAAACGAATAGTTTTTCCAGTTTGAATCATAAGTCTCATAATTCATCAGAAGAAGCTAAATAATGTATTAGTAAAAATATTTTAATTAAATAAATTATCTCAAAATAATAATTACATCCCCCGTTTTAGCCATCTTATAAATATTTCGAAACTTCTATTTCTTCAAAAATTTGACTTGAATTTAAATGGTAAAATTCACAGATATCCTCGATATCATCTTTAACAATTCACTTTTCCGCCATTCCCTAGGTGTAAAAAATGATGTTTAATTTAAAATTCATCATTAAATCTTTCATTAAACTATATAATAATAAAATCAAGTGCAGCATAAAACACACTGATTTTAAAGCTAAAATAAAATATTATATTTAATGATGAAAGTATATATACCTCTCCTTTTTGGATTGTAATGTTTGAAGTCTAGAGCTTTCTTTATAAGATAAGTATAAACAATTAAATATTTAATAAAAAAAAATTACCTTGCTATTCGTCCAATTTTTAGAAATATTTTTAAAAGCTACTATTTCAAAGCTTTTCTTTATATCGCTAAAATTAAGTCCACCATGTCTTTTTCTAATGCGGTTTGTCCATTATATTATGCCATGTGCAATTATTAATTATGCAATTTTTGGGTATATTTGAAATTAATTTGCTAGACATCGACCAAAATTTATTAAAATGTAATAATAAAACCCCTATTTATTATTTAATTAATATGTATTTATGGAATCACGAGGTGTCCGATATCATAAGCCAGAAACCACTTGGTTATGGATGGGTGTAGCAAAACAATAAAAGAATTATATTTTTTTAAAAAGTACCACCACTTAAATTTTTAGAATTCATAATGAAACAAAAATATACATTATTTTTTATGCGAAAATTTTAATGATTTTCATTTTTTTCTTTTTCATATATAAAATAAAATATATCATTGAAAACATTGTACATAAAAATCAATTAACCCAAAAAAATCATAAAAAATGTTTAAAAAAAATCGGCTGCGCTTGTGTGCGTCGTTTTGGTTTTTTTTAAATTTTCTAAAAAATGCTTTTATGTTTAATTCAACGAACTTTATGACGGCTTCTAAATGTGAGATTCATATTCTGAAAACAAGGCCCTTGAATCCACTAGATTATCAAGTGTTCGACTTTAGTTTATGCTATAAGATTTGGACGAATTTGAAAAGAAAATATCAAATGCGTTTGATCAGTGGAAGATTGGATTGTTAAGTGATATTCAAGATAAATGACCAATTATCCAACTATATTTCTTTAATTATATTTATGTATTTTATGTTTATTTTATTTTATTTTATTGTATTTAAATAAATAGAGATCTCAAAGTTGTGTTCTGCATTTAACTTGTAATTAGCAAAAAATTGAACACCCGGTAGTCCAAAATAATGAGAAGCAATCAAATCCTTTTTAAATAATTAAGAGTCGAGTTATCTTTTGTCAAATTTTAGTATTTTTTTTCTTCTCAATTTTCTAAAAAACTACTCAATCAAATTCTAGAATATTTCAGGATATTAAGTTCCACATTCTTTAACAAAATGCGAATTTAAAAAGAACAAGTGACTTGTTTTAGAATTATAAAGATTTCAAAACGCGACTTTTTTTTGAGCCACCCGGTATAATATTTCATGTAAAAAAATTTAAACTTACATACCCGTAAAGGAAACCGATCGCGACAAACGAGACAACAAAAAAAGACGGAAAAGCCGCGGCCGAAACGAGAGGAACAAGAGGCCAGATCGCTCTGATACGCGCGATAAAGGTTATCAAAGAAAATCCGGAAATGACGAAAAAAATCTTTCGGGTGATCTTCGAAACGAAAACCAGCAGTCGCTAGAAGCCTCTAAAGAGATGCAAGATGAAAAAACTAGAGATGACCCCTCGAACAGCGTTTACAAGAAGAAAGGCTCTAAGGATAGTGATGGTAAAGAAATAAATAAAATATTTATTATTGGTTTGTCCTGGCATATAATTCTATTTCCGTTATCTGATATTTTATAGTTTTCGGAGAACTAGAATCGAATAATATTCCTTGTTTTTCATTTAATAAAAAAAACTAATATACTCTTAAAAATTGTTATTCCTTAAAATGACCACGAATTTTATTATTGGATAATTAATGTATAATTATTCGACTCAATTTTTATTTTTTAAATTAAGTTCTTTTTCTTTTTAATATCGTCGACGTATAGGTTTCACCATACCCGGAGCGCCATTATCTCGTCCTTACGAAAGTCGTGCCATCAAAAAATCATCTGGTCAACTTCCACATCTTCCACAAGATCAAAATTTATTGGCCTCCCAACTCACTCCTCTGGTTTATTACATATTTTTTTCTTAATAATACATTATTAGTATTGTCTTACCAGTTCGTATATTGATGTTAGTTGTGCAAAGGTAAAAGGTCCAGGGTATAAATTTAACAAGGACGAAATAAAGAGATCATTGAAAAAGATTAAAAAGGGAAGGTAGCGGGTTTAACTAGGGTGATATCAGAGATGTTTAAAATGACTTAGGGATTGAATGGTAATGAATTTAGCCAATCAAATTGTCATAGAAGGAACTATCCCCGAGGATTCGCGAAGAATAATTATCCCAGTATACAAGGGGAAAGGTGATCCTTTAGACTTCGAGTCTTACAGAGCTATTAAACTCTTAGAACATGAAATGAGAGTATTTGAGAAGATGTTAGAGAAGCGGATAAGGGAACAAAATAAAATTGATGAAATGCAATTTGGTTTTACATCAGAGAAAGGCACGACAGATGCAATTTTTATGTGAGACAAATACAGGAGAAGTATCTTGCGAAGGAAAAGAAACTTTATTTGTAGATTTGGAGAAAGCATTTTTAGGGTCCCGCACGACTTTACTAGATGGGCCTTGAGAAAATCAGGTGTGGAAGAATGGTTGGTTATGGCAGTGATGACAATGTATGTGGGAGCATAAACTGCTGTACGGCGGATGGATGATGGAGATAGTGAAAGCTTGAAGTTAAGTTAGGACTTCATCAAGGATCCTTGCTGAGTTCATTATTATTTATCTTAGTAATGGATGTAATGGCTAGAGAAATGCGTGAAGGACTTCCCTGGGAGCTATTATATGCAGATGACCTTGTATTAATGGCAAGCAGTGAGGAATTGATGGATAAAATAAATGGCAGATGCCTATGGAAGCAAAGGGCTTGAAAATGAATGCAACAAAGACAAAGGTGAGGATTGGTGAGGAAAATCTACAGATGGAGGAATCCGGTAACTGGCCTTGTGCCAGAATTGGGTATCTAATAGATGTAGCGGGAAAAAGGAAAGTTTGATGTTAGCAAGAATGACCTTTATTTGTAGAACGTATATAAAAGGGATACATAATTTATAACGAGAAAATAATGGTTTGGATATTGGCAATGGGTTAACCCTGGGAAAAGTGGATAAGTTTTATTATTTGTGTGATATACTAAACGTAGATGGTGGTGTAGATTCTGCGGTTGTCATGGGTCAGACAAGTATGGAACAAGTTCAGAGAGATGTCGTCTATTTTAACATAAAAAACTCTCTGAAGTTAAAGTGGAAAGTTTACATAAGCTGTGTGAGGAGTTGTTTAGTTTATGGCGGCGAAACATAAGCAATGAAAGCGACCCACAAATCCAAATTAGGAAGAACAGAGATGAGGATGATTAAATAGATGTGTGGGGTATCTCTGAGAGAGAGAAAAACTAGTAAGGAATTGCCAGCAAAATTGGGTATAGAAATGATTGGAAGGGTAATGTGACGAAATAGACTAAGATTGTTTGGGCTTGTGGAACGTATGACAAAAGATGACTGGGTAAAGAGATGCACCTTGATGGAAATAGGAGGATCAAGACCTAGAGGAAGGCCCGAGATGACGTGGACAAATGTAATAACAGCAGATATGAGATAACGTTACCTTCATTAGTATCTAAAAAACGTCCTATCTCTAAAATTACCGAAAATAAATGAAAATAGCATAGCGCTCTATTTTAAACGCTGCTAAGCAATATTTTAAAACTTACATGTCCTTTAACCTTATGTGAAGAAATAATTAAATGATGAGGGATAAAATTCCAAGAACCATCGAAATTATAATAATTTCGAAGAGACAGGTACCTCTTACTGGCGCGATTATTTTTTGATCCATGAATTTATGATAAATTTATTTCGACCTACCTTTGATCGAACTCATCGGTTGTATAAGTGTTATCACCGAGCTATTTTTTAAAAAAAATGTCATGCCAAATTTTTAAATAAAATATAAAACCTTTGACTCATTTCGTAAACTTCTTAACCCAACATTATGATGTCCATTAAATTATGTTTGTAGTCGACCGACATAAGATTCTCAATGTTGAATTCAAAAATAGTTTTAAAAAACAAACAAACAAAGAATTAATCAAAGCTAGATAGAAAAAGAAATTAGTATTTAAAATTATATATTTGGAAAATAATTTTAGCTAAATTCTTACCTAAATAATTATAAATGGGACACATTGTATGCAACAACTGCTTTTAGACTTAATCCATTTCCACTTCTTACGTTGCATTTAAAAACGCTTAATGTTAAATGATAGGGGATAAAATTCTCAGTTTTAATTTTTAACATTGCAACCTAAGCTAAGAGTTAAAGTAGTGGACCAAACCTTATAAAATTTTAACGTTCGAAAATAAATATAAAAAATACTTACTTATCTTTAAATAATTGTAAACAAATTAGCTTAAATATCGCCGCATATTGAGAGTGACATAAATAACCTTAATTTCTAGAGTTTTAACTTTCGAAAATAAATATAAATAATATATATATATATATCTTTAAATAATTTATAAAAAAATTAGGTTAAAAATGGCCACATATTGGAATAGAGTGACATACTTAACCGAAATTTCTAAGCTAGATTTAATATGAAAAAATAAATGAATTGGGATTTTAATATAAAAAAATATAGTTTTTCCTGTTTCTTATATTCGCAACTTTGATATAACTCATCATAAATTAAATAAAGTTATGTGAAAAAAATATGTTATAAAGATTTAATAAATTCATATTTTATCCTCAAAATTCCCGGAAATTTAACATCCCTGCATTCTTAAGAGTTTTATGGGAGGGTTTTAACCAAAAAGCCCGACCACTCTTTTTGAATTTTTTAGCCCACCCGCCCACTTTAAATTCCTTCTAAATAATTTACCCGCCCACCCATTTATCTATAAATTTTGTTTAACCCACCCGCTGCGTAATTATCTTAATGGATGGTTTGGTTCTTTTTTTATTTATTTAAATGTATTTATCTTAGAAAACCTTTCGGGTGGGCGGGTTTAAAACCCGCCAATTGCAGACTTTTATTTCCTATATTGATTTATATGACTGCGTTAAGAATCATACTTTATAATCTCATAATTATTGTTTTATAAAAAAAGACCCCGCACTACATAAATTTTGTGGACGATCTCAAGACCGAAGTTCAACCCGTCAAAACACCAGAAACTTTGGCTATCCCCTTGACCGAAAGCAAGGTCACGATTGATTATTCTAAAATTCCCGATAGGACGCTTTTTTTGAGCAATCTTTCGTACAAAACTACTCGGGATCAAATATTCGAGCTCTTTTCCCAGGTAACCTTAAAATATAAAACTAGTTGTCAGTAACTTTAAGCATAATAAAGGTTCATTTTTTTAGGAACTAGATGAACAAATTATTATATATTCAAAGCTATGTAATGAATAATTATTAATATATAATACAAGCATTGGTGAATGCCCTAACTGGCAAGCGTGAAAATTTGAAGTTATGTCGAAATATTTCAATTTGATTATAAACATGTTTTTCCTAGTTAGAATATAAGGATGTTTTAAACAGGGAAAAAATTTTCAATTTGAATATGTTTTTCCATCAGTATTTTGAGCAAAAATCTTTGAGGATCAACAAATATGGAAATTTTTATTTACAAAAATTACTGAAGATCTTGATTTGATATTTTAGGTAAAATTTGATCATATTGTAAAAAATCTTCATTTTTTTGATTTTCAGAGTTCAAAAATATTATCTTTTAAGATTTTTTATTTTGAGGTTTACGAAACCTTAGTTTTAATAACGATGGTGAATCAAGTCAGGTTTGCGTTTAAGATGATATATTACCCTCCTGCCCTAACAGTGCGCAAGTTGCTCCTTATTAGTCAAAAGTGATGGAAGATATTGCATTTTTTGCTCTAATTCAACAAGCTGTTTGGCAGCATGGAAGGAAATTAATAATGCCCTAATAAATAGAATACTAGCAAAGACTTAATTCCCAATTCAGTTGGAACCAACAGGCCTATCATTTATCATTTCTTAACATACGTCCTATAGTCACTAAGACTCCCTAGCATAATGGGAGGCTATTCATGTAGGATTACTTGTGTTTTACGGGGTTTCCACCAACATAAAATACCGATCATATCAATTCAACGAACCATTTATCGTGAAACTTTTATCAGGAATTTTATAGCGAAGGTAATATCACAAAATCATTTTCGCCAATTTTTTCCTCAAAACATTTATAGCGAATTCATTATCGTGAATTTATTTCCGCGAAAAGAGCGAATACATTTTAGCGAAACTTTTATTGTAAACCCTTTATAGCGAATTTCCTACCGCGAATGTATTATCGCGCAAGCGCATTATCTCGAAACAATAAATATATATTGCGAATGCATTTATTTAAAGGATAACAACTTAATAAATAATATTAATTTACCCATAAAAGTTCCTTAAATCGTCAACGCATGTCATAAAACCCCTTCCCCCCTTCCATATTAAGAAATATATGTGTTAAAAGCTTTTATAAAATTTGATCTTCCTTGTGATTTGTAGTGATGGAGAGGATAAAATTTTTATTTGAAATTCATGTCCAGATATTATGTTATAATTTTTACCCCCCCCCCCCGATTTACCCTAAAAATATAAAAATGAGTAACAATGTAAACACATCCTTTTATTAGCCTTCATCATTTGAGACCCATGTGGAAAAATATGTAAATATTTTACCCTGTACCCCCAACCAGCTCTAACTATGAATTAAATATATTTATTTAATTAGGTTTCATTTAATACTATTATGGATATTTATTTTAAAGTAGGTTCCGTCCCCCTTTCTACCCCTCTTTTTGGGGATTCATTGAAAATTACTAAATAGTTTTAATTCTGAGTAATTAATTGGAAAAAAATCATAAATATTACCTACATGTATTTTAAGTTTCAGAATTAATGCTTGCTTTGGCAAACTTTGTTTTTAAGGTTGTCTATTAGATTCAGATTTCTATCAATTTTTTTGAAAATATAACTAATATTTTATATCTCAGTAAACAGAAATGATAAAAAAATAGCTATAAAGATCGTAAAATCATAAGATTCAAAGAAAATTTTGAAATTGAAGAAATCCCTTATTTCACTTATATGTAATTTATTTTCGAATCGCTTTTCAAATGAGTTATGTCATATTTTTTATTAGCTTATAACTCTGTTTTTGGTTGGTAGCTGGCAAAACTGATTGATGAATTTATTAATATTAAGTACTCATCAGACAATTAATATTGGCGCAACTCAATCAATTTCGCCAGTAAGAATCAAAGTTTAACTATTGAACGCAATGATTAATATATTAATCTTATGTTGTCTCGCTTCCATAATAAGATTTCGAGAAAAACATAGGACAGGATAACAAGAAAATTGTATTCTAATAAAAAATTTTATGAACCAAATCTTAGTTATCATTATATAAATTTATTAAGGTTTATTTTAAAAATAATATTATTCAATTAATATGATCATAAAATAATAACTATTAGCAATTATCGCGATACTGACCTTGCCATAATATTTTCGCTAATATATGTTTTGCGAAATAGTTTTCTCTATATTGTCTTCGCGATAATGACTTCTATAAAACTTTCGCTGTAATGTATTCGTTTTAAAGGTTTCGATATTAAAAAATCGAAATTGTTTTCGCTAATATGGATTCGCGGTAAATGTTTCGCTATAAAATCCATTTTCGATAAACGATTTTCGCGATAAAAGTTTCGCTGAATTATATGGAACCATGAATTATTATATAGTTTTGATATTTTAATAAATTAAATTTTTATTAACCATTTCTTTTAATTTTCGTTTAATTTTTCGAATAATTGTTTTTTGTAAATATTAACATTTATACAGCATTCAGTTTACCTGGAAATAATTTATTTAAACAATACCATTAATTCTTATAATTTGAATTAAATTTTAAAGTAAACCAACCTATTTCAAACCGGCGCACTAATTAACACCGATCACTATTAGATTATTTGAACCAAAGTTTAGATCCCGCTTCCGCCACTAAGTTTTAAAAAGGAGCTAGCTCCCGCTCCAAAATAAATTTAATATATTTTTAATACACAAAAAGTTCGGATCCATAGAGCACATTCACGTAGTTTCCACCCGAAAAGGTAAATCCAAAGGTTACGCCTACCTAGTTTACGATACAGCCCAATCCACTACCAAAGCCCAAACTGCGGACCGGATTAAACTGATGAACCGACCGGTTTTCGTGTCTAGATATGGAAAGAAATTCAAGGGATTATCTGGTAACGTTATCCAGTGAGTTTTTAAATGTTTTATTTATAAAAATATTTTTTTTGAACATGCCTCTAGCGATAGGTTTTGACCATTCTAGTATCTCGTATTTTATTTTTTATATATTTTTTTAAAAAAATATTTATTCATTCTCCTGTGATTTTTCTTTTAAATTATCTATTATCTTTTTTATATTTCTATTTTTCATCGAAAATATTTTTTTAATTTAAGTTATTGATGCCTTTGCATTTTAGTGAAATTGTAACATCTTAGATTTATTTCACTTAATTTAACAAATATCTATAAATAAAAGCATCAAATCTTCACAACCATTGCCAACGTTAACAGAGGATCCATCATCATCTTCTCAATTTCACGATTCTCCAAAGAAAAAATTGGATTTAGGAGTTTCTAGCGTCTTCTTGCCCAGACAAATTAAACTACTTTCTGTTCGCGATATGGAAAAACCCGCAAACAACGAATCAAAAATGTCTGATTGATTTTTCTTAAAAAAATAATACTCACTACTTCCTATATATAAATATTAAGATGTAAAAAAGCTAAATATAAAATGTTCATAAAAAAATACAAAAAATCGGCTTTCAGATTTTTATCAACTAGAAAAATGATTACCAAATTTTACGAATCAAGTTGGAAAAAAAAGCAATGAAAATATTTTTTCAATTTATTTTCGCGCAGAAATTTTTGCACGCTTACAATATATTTGTTACCCCACTTCCCCGCCATTTTCTTGTATATATATTATTTGGGTTATAATTTTACGATGTTATAGTGAAATTATATAGAATTTCTCCCTATTTTCGATATAATGTTCTATTAAGTTGTAGATTAATTCTTTCAATTTTTTTTTTGGAAAAATTATTTTTGTTTTGATCGAATGATCGTAACTTTGAATTGAAAAAATTTTTATTTTTTTGTTTAATACATTTCGCATTAGGGAGAGGATGATTCACGATTTTAGCGATCGACAAAAAAGCTAAGAAATTAAATATATAGCTACCGAGTGTCATCTATCACTTCACTTAGATATTTATAAATTGTAGTTAAATACCATGTTATTTATCATAAATTTGTTAAATAGAAGATTTAAAATAAATATTATATACTATAAAATATTGTGTAAAAAAATTCCTTGTTTTAAAAAATATATTTTTAATGCTTTAAATTGCTATTTTTATTCGATTGTTAAATAAAATTAACGCATGAGGCCTTATATACGTTACTGTTATTACTCTTTTTTGCTCTCAGTACAGTTTGACCTGTCTCACTATATTCATATTTGTTTCAATAGGTTTATATTCATACTATATAAAATATCAAATTTATTTACAGCTAGATTTATTAATAGAATAATACGATTTCATAATAAAAATTTTAATTGTTTTTACTATTTTATCTTTTTTTGGCGCAAAATGATTGTTTTAGCATATACGATTTCATAATAAAAATTTTAATTGTTTTTGCTATTTTATCTTTTTTTTTCTGACGCAAAATGATTGTTTTAGCGGGTAGGTATTAATACAAAACGTAAATGCGATGAATAAGCCTGTCCCACTAATTAGAATTAAGTCCCCACCCCCTTTATAAAATTATGATACGATGGAAATAAGATATAAAGCAGAAGATATAAAAATTGATCTTTGCATATCGAAATGCTTTTAACTTTTATTGAATTACCAACGGCTAATTTAGATAAAGAAATAAAAGTTATATCATGATTGATTTCTCAGTTTCTTTATTTTAAATGCACAAGTTATGAATTTCAATCACATATAATGCTACGGGCAGGGATTCGAACCCGGGTTTTTAGAACAAAACTCTGAACCCGAACCGAACCTGAATCCCATTTATAAAATTTTCAAACCCCCGAACCGAACCCAATAATTTTATTTGAACCCGGGTTCAACCATATTCAGTGTATTATTTAAAATCATATATTAATATATGTAAATACAAATATTATATTTTCAAATTTCCAATTAAATGAAGTGTTAATAAATTTTAAACAACTTAATTCATTTATGCCATTTTTAAATTTATTCTCGATTCCTATTGGAGTGTTAAAAAATTGAATTAATTTACGCCATTTATTTTAAAATTTTTATCTCATTATTCTTAAAGATTATTAATTAGAAGAAAATGGTTAACAAATCAAAGTAAAAATTATTATATTGTTAATTTAAAAAATTCTAAACATCTAACTTAAAAATTGTTAAATGTAGGGCAGTTTTTGTGAACTTATTAAAATGATTTTAAAATTTATATATGCTAATCATTTATTTTTGGTTCAGATTAATTTTTACAAGATATTAATGAAGTGCATATTATAAATGAAATTAAATGTATAAATATCTCTTTTTTAATTCTGAAATCATTGCTATTTAAAAAAATTGTTCTCTTTTTATAGATTTAAGATTAAAGATAAAGTCATATTTGATAAGCATTTTAACCTTAATACAATAGAAAAAAGATCAATATGTTCATATTGCAAAGTAAAAATGTCTGGTAATCACTTGTCAAATTTAGAAAGACACCTGGAAAGAAATCACAACAATGAATATTTAAATGAAAAAACCAAATATCAGGAATTGTTATTGGCAAAAAAACCTAAAATTAATAGAAACCTTTTTTCCAAAAAAGCATATAAGTATAAATATATCATCTAATGATTTGATGAGTTCTATACTAGAACTTGTTACTGTAAATGGCCGGCCTTTATCAATTTTTGAAGATTCGGGATTTCAAAGAATTATAAATCCACTCCTATCTGGGCTCAATTTAGTTATAAACAAAGAAAATTTATCCAGAACTATTAATAAAACAGCCCAATCAATTAGAGACAAAATATCGAGAGAGGTAGAAGGAAAATTAATAAGTTTAAAAGTTGATGCAGTTCAACGACTAGATAGGTCAATTCTTGGTGTAAATATTCAATTTATATCAAAGTCCATTATAAATTTGAGGACTCTTGGAATTGTAGAGCTGAAAGAGAGATGTACAGGAGAATATATAAAAGAGAATATATTAAAAACTTTACTAAAATTTAAAATTAATATTCAACAAATATACACAATTACTTCTGATAATGGTTGTAATTTTTTAAGAGCTATAAAGCTCCTGCAACCTGAAACTGATTATGATATAAGGAGTGAATCAGCAGATGAGGAAAATATGGATGTAAATGTATATAAATATGATATTGATGATATACAAAATACTTTTTTATCAACTATTATATCCTATCCGATTTATAGGTACGGTGTGCTCACACACTTCAGCTGGCACTTCAAGATGCTATAAAATTATCACCTATTGTGCAAACCATTGCAAAAGCTAGGAGCCTAAATTTAAAATTAAGACATCCCACTTATTAAAAGTTATTAAAAAATATGAAACTCCCTAAGCCTGTGTTAGATTGCCACAGATGGCATTCAACCCATGATATGTTTGAAAGGCTGATTTTACTAAAACCCAATATCGAAGATTTTCTTTCAGAGCAATCTGATTATTTATTGACTGAAGATTGGAAAGAGATAATAACGATTGTTGAAATTTTAAAACCGCTAAAAATCGTAACCAAACAATTCCAATCTGAACAGTTAACACTGACAGATTTTTATGCAGCATGGTTAAGATGCTGCATCTAACTGGAAAAAAATCCAAACCATTTTGTTCAATTACTATATTCTTGTCTTAAGAACAGCGAAGAAAGGTTTATAAAGAACGAAATTCTCTTAGCTGCCTTATACCTGGACCCAAGATACAAGGTTAATTAAAAGCTTAGTAAATTAATTATTTTAGATTTATATTAAAATTGTTATTTTATGGAATATTTAAATATAAACAATATAAATCCTTAAATATTACAGGTATTACTTAGTGATGATGATAAGATTTGTGCGAAAAGGCATCTTGTAAATTTATGGAGACGAATTAAAAGCTTAACAACGCCGATTTTATCTGATGATATTAGTTCCGATGAAGTTATTGAACAAGAAGATGATTTAGAGAAATTGATACAACTTAAAGAAAGGCAGGAGAAAATACTTAAAAGAGGGCCAACGATTGCTGAGAAAAGTATTGGAACAATAATTACTGGATTTAGCGATTATAAAAGATTAGATAAGAAGGAAAATATTTTGCATTTTTGGGAGTCTGCTAAGCTGGAACACCCTGAATTATATATTTTATCTAAAATCTTATTTGCTGTTCCTGCAACCCAAGTTAATTTATCATATTTTCACTTATAAATACATTTAACATAGGTTAGCGTTGAAAGATCTTTTTCACATTTGAAATTCATTCTTTCACCACATAGATCGAGGATGAGTGAACAACTCTTGGAGATATTATGCTAATACGTCAAAATAAAATTTTTAAAATTGATACATGACTATATGCTTTGTATTTTTAACTATATTTGCCTATAAATAAAATAAAAAATTTATTTTTTATATCAAATTTATGTCTAGTTTTTTATTATGATTTAAATATAGAATTTTTTTATCAACTCAAAAATTCTTGAACCCGAACCAAACCCGGGTTCAAAAATATTTCCCTGAACCGAACCCACTTTTTTTAAACCCCGAACCGAACCCGGGTAAAAATTTTGTCGGGTTCGCATCCCTGGCTACGGGCAATAAAATATTATAGTTTTAAAATACTTGTGTTGTAAATTAAATTTTAAATTTAAACTTATTATTTTTATGAACATTTCTAACCTGTTTAAGGAACGTTCCGGATAATCGTCCCACTCTCAATTATATAACTATATGGTTAATAAGTAAAATTTATGACAACCCTCATAATGCTTATAGGGTATTCAAATCAAATATTTTTGAGTTTCTCCATTGGTGGTGATAAAGGTGTTATGTTAACTTATACCTTCTAATATAATTTGGGAGGCAAAGCCAATCACTTTGCTGCAACAATGGCATTATAGCTAGAAAATTTTTTTTCATAATATTATAATACGCCAACTTGTGGATTTAATATTATTGAAATTTAAAATGTAATTATAATTATTTTTATTATAATTATATTAAAGGATTTAAACTATTATGAGATAAAAGAATTACAACTATTAATGTACATTCCTTTATTAATGAATAAACTAATAATTTAATTTTTATAAGTTATTAATATCGTAAGAAAATGAATCTCACTTTAATAGAGTATATATCAAAAAATTTTATCTAAGCAAGTTTAGTCAAACACTTATACATGATAATAGTATGATAAAGTAATTTTAATATTACGGCTGTCAGATGTAAAGAATTTTTTTTCATAAAATAATTATACACCAACTTGCCGATAATATTATTGAAATTTAAAATGTAATAATAATTATTTTTAATATAATAATATTAAAGGATTTAAACTATTTGTTATGAGATAAAAGAAAATACAACTATTTATGTACATTCTTTTATTATTGAATATATCTAATAATTTAATTTTTATAAGTTATTTATATCATAAGAAAAATCTCATTTCAATTAATAGAATATATATTATAAAAACATTTGCAGTTTACCTTGACGTTTGCAGTTTACCTGGGCTGCATTTAGTCAAACCCGAATCAATTATTAATATTATATTGTCTTAGAATAAATAAGGTAGTCTTAATGAAAATTGTTACAAAGTTAAGGGATACTAATTTTGAAATGACATCATCAAAAAAGGTGGGACAGACATTTTTGAAATTCCTTGATTTAAAAAAAAATTTTTAATCCAAATGGACTCGGATTTTGGCAATAATTAAATTTTTGCACAAAACTAATAATATAGAGAACTACAAGATTTTAACACGACCAGTGATTATCAATTGATTTTTTTTAAAACGGAAAATCACTTATATTCTACATTTACATAACTGTATTAAAGATCATATTGGTGGTATCATTATTTTTAGGATAATTTAGTATTGAAGGCAATAATTTAACATAAAAAAATATTGAATTTCTTAATTTTTTTACTCTGTTTGAGTTTATATAATCACGGAAAACAAGACTTGTGATATAGGTTTGAAATTATTATACAATATTTCTATAACCTTGGCTTATTTTATAGAGTTAAAATGCTATTTTTTATTCAACCCAATTGCTTATTTATTTTCCCACATTATTTTTATGTAAAAAAAATTAATAGCTCACAATAAGTTGTTAATAAGATGTTGATGTTAATTTTTATAATAATGTTAAAATTCTTTTCTTATTATTTTAATTTTTATTATATAATCTGGGTGCCAACTAGAAGGAAATAAGTTAAATAAAAATATATATAAAAATAAATAATTATATAGATTTTTCTATTTTTCACAAAATTTTGTAATCTATCAAACATTCAACTCGAAATCGAT